TATATATATAAAATCTTTGTCGAAAGTATATGTTAAAGAGTCTCACGTCAATGGTAAAAGGGAAGGAGGGATGTCACAATTGAGGTTTTTAATAAAATGACTTTTTCATTTTTTATATTGAAAAAGTAATAAAAATGAGAAATATTAAATTTTTTATTACTTTGGCACCGAGCTATTTTTTGCAAGACCTCCCCTGCAATATCATGAGTTTAACCATCAAGCTCGGGATGAACTCATGTGGTTCCTATACGTGGTCTCCTTATATGGCTTGGACATCATCCTCACCTCTTGAGCTACCGTTTAGGTCAGTTGAGTTAGACCTAGACCTAAAGTCTATTGGTTTAAGAGTCAACCCAACCCAATACGTTGTTTATTTATTATTTATCCGATTTGATTTTCGAAGAATATTCCTTCACCATGATCACCAACACATACATGAAATTATGAGCAGGAAAAGTTTAGAACCAAAGATGGAAGAAGCAATTAATTACACCAACTCATGAAACAAAACAAAAAGGAGATTATTATTATAATTAACATTTACGAAGTCTTAGCCCCTAAATAAGCGGCTGCTTAATAAAGAGATTCATATTAATTTCCTTATTTACTCTTTATTGTAATACACACAAATTTTCCTTATCTATTCTTCACACTTACTTACTTATTCCTTATTTATACTTTTATTTATTTCCTTATTTCACTCTTAATTATGTGTTTAATTCATATATCACTACAAAAAATTTGGTAAATTGCGGCGGTTTATTTATGGTGGTCATAAAAAACTCCCACTATACGTTTGTTTTGTGGCGTTTGAGCCAACCCCCACAAAATAATTCTTATTGTGGCGGTTTAAGTGTGGGGGTCGTAAAAGACTCCCTCTATACATTCAATTCGTCGCGTTTGTTCCGACCTCCTCAAAAAAATTCTTATTATGACGGTTTTTTTGTGAAGGTTTTTGATAACCTCCACAAATATATCAATTCTAGGTGTTTGAGAAATTATTATTATTAAAAAAAAATTAGTTATTTTTTCCATCTTATTTCTTTAAAATTAAATCAAAATACATATTTTAGTTAAAACTTTGCGAATTAATGCAATTTACGTCAATATCTATACCTTCTAGTTTGTAATTTTTATCTCTACATTTTCTTCAACTACAAAAAGAAAGGTTTTCCATTATTTCTCTATGTCTTACTCGCTAGTTTTTCTTTGATTGTCTTTGTGAATTTCTTTAATTCATCTCTCTATATTTAGCAAAAAATAACAATGACTTCTATTTCATTTCTTCCTCTTAGGTTTCTTATTTCTAGATTTATACGAAATGTCTACCCATAAATATGAAACATATATAATTTCTAACCCCGTGAGTATCGTGAATCTTTAGGTGCAAAAAAAAAAAGAAATTTATCTAACATTGGACCACAATATTAGGTAACAAAAAAATAATGCAAAATGAGCCATCACAAAAGTTGAAATGTGGCTCAACAAAAGCAAGAAATGACCGTTGATTCAATTTGATCTCACCGTCACAAGTGATACTTGTCTCCAAAGAAAAAGACAACAATACAGAGAATTGAATGCATCAGGTATTCAGTGAATCTCACTGAACAAATATGGTCGACGAGGTCTAATATAAACGAAAAAATATGCTTTAGATTAATCATAAATAATATCTGCATTCATAAGTAACGACTATACATCCAATAAACAACAGATGCAGGAGAGACATCCAAGTGTTGTAATTATCTACACAAACATTTGATTTTTTTTATTTTGTTTGAGATAATTTAAAATTTAAAGGGATATAAATAATTGCAAGAATTAGCATGCAGATTTTCTTTATTTTTATTATAGTAGGTGTTCTCTATGTTCAAATAGTATTTTTAAAGGAGGGTGTGAGGCAAGCTATTTTACTACGGGATGAGGCGTAAGCCCGATACCTTTAAATTATTTAATTTATTAATGACGCATAATAAACCAAAAAAAAGTATATTAGAGTTTAAGAAATTAAAAAAAAATAAACTCATAAAAAATAAAATATCCTGTATGTTTTTACAAGTATAAATAATACAATAGTGTTAAAGTTACTGTGAGATACAACTATAACGTTTTAACTGTCAAGCAATTAAAAAATTATAATTTCTTTAAAAATGTATCAAGTTATACATTTTACCTCCCTAAAAGTTATTAATCAAGAAAATTCATAAATACTATAATTTAAAAGATTACTCGTTCATGTATATACAAAATTACTTTCAAAGAGCAAAACAATAAAAGCCTGATAATTTAAGACATGAAGACCAATGGCAATAAGATACAATTTTTACTATCTAATTTAGAAAAAAATAGTCTAATGATATTCACACTCACGATATTCTCAAATAGTAAATATGCAATTACGTGGCTCATTATTTGAGTTATTCTCAAATAAAAGTTTAATCATAACTTTGTTAAAGAATTCATGAGCATCAATGGTGTCAATTAGAGAATTTGACACACGATTTAAGTAGGAACTACAGTCAAACCTCTCTATAACAACCACGTTTATTCCGATATGTTTTGGCTGCTATAGTGAGGTGTTGTTATAAACACATATATTATAACATAACATAAAAATCAATTCTGAAAAAAACTTGACTTTTTATAGTAAATGATTGTTATATAGAGATGATGTTATAGAGAAGTCTGATGCGTTATGCGTGTTTTGGTTGCACACTCGGATGCTTTAGAGCGTAAGCTCACATAACTAAGCTCCACACATATTCTTCGGGACTTTTTGAATTGTCACGACCCATTTCCATAATAGGTCATGATGGCTCCCAACTCCGTTGTCAGACAAGCCAACGCGGAAGTATTAGTGAATTCTTATTTTACTTACCCAAAATAATTACAACATTGTTCTTAATTTGCAAGTAAAAGCAGTTGATAATATGCAGCATTCAATAATAATTATACAATCCAAAAGAAACGTCTACTAATGTGTGTGTCACAAGCTGTGGACAACTAGTAGAATATACAAAATAATAAATCTATCATACTGTCTGAAACATAATAGACAGTCTAAAGTAAGGAAGACTCCATCCAGCTGCTGATTGGCACAAGAAGGGAAAGCAGCTCACTGTGGAAGTCTCGGACTATGATCAGGGATGCGCACCAGTCTGATAACCAGATGAACCTGCCTCAGAGCATGTACAGTTAAGTACAGAAGCGTAGCATGAGTACATAAATATTATGTACACAGTAAGTATCCCGTCTAATCTCGAAGAAGTAGAGACGAGAGGTCAACTTGATACCTACTAGGGCCAAATAATATAATATGATATTATGCTAGGTATGATGGTCACTATATATAACAGTTGAAATAAGTATTTCTAAGTCATGTCATTTTAATACCTCAGTTAATCCTTTACAATTTAAACCATGTATCAGGCAGGTCATCAATAATAAATTCACATAGATATATATCATGCGCACCTTATGCCGAGGTCGATGGCCCGATCCAACATAAAAGAAACTGTGCACTGCCAGAGGGTCGAATGGCATGAACCATAGATGCATCTATTTCTACCAAGGCGATCAGCCCAACAGAAAAAATATCAATTATCAACAGAAAATACAAGAAGGCACATTTATATTCAAATAAACTCATACAAGTGTTCAACACAAGAAGGCGCATTTACAGACATGACTTAAATATTATATTAAACATGTACCGGGCTCCGGAACCAAAATACGGGTCTGATACCAATGAGATCAAATATTAATCAATTTCTTGGGACCTCGGATTTCGATTCCGGGCATACGTCCAGGTCTCATATTTTACTACGGATCTACCGGAATCGTCAAAATATGGGTCCTAGTCCGTTTACCCAAAACATTCACCGAAGTCAACAAAGATCAACTTTTTAGGCCAAAAATCATTATTTCATCAATTTTTCCACATAAAGGCTTTCCGAAAATACGTCCGGATTGCACACGCAAAGCGAGAAGAAATAAAATAAGGTTTTTAAAGCCTCAAAACACGGAATCAGGTTCTAAATGAGATATTGATTGTCAAGTTCCCTAATAAAAGTAAAATGTATTTTAGTTTTGACTTCGCTAAAGATGATACCAACAACTATTACTAGGACGAATACTTAAATACTTAGCAATACATAACCCTTCATTATAGAAGTCCCTTGTCATTAGATAATAACTTAACAATCGAATGGGTAAAGTGACACCTTTCAGACGTAAGAACATGAAAAACGTACTTTATATGAAATTATAGGAAGAAATTTCTTCTCAATTTATCCTTTAATCGTAGCAAGGGATATACGTGCAAATCACGTACATAGAGACTAGTTATTATAAAAGCATGAATGTTCTACGCTAAAATATTGGACAACACAAATATCCCTGAAATATTGATAGATTTTTATACCCTTGAAAATTACATTATTTCTTAAAAAGAGATTATTCCAAATTAAATAAAATGATAATATTTAAATTTTACCGTGGATACTTATAAGGAATCAAATTCTTCAATTAAAGATAAATTCAAATCGGATTTGTATCATGCTATGATTAGAAGTCGATTTAGTGTCATATACTAGCTAGTATATTTGAAGTCAAACTCACGCTCCTTGAGATTAAGTGATCTTCACCATTATTTGATGGGAAAAATCTGTAGCTCAAAACGTGGTACTGCAGCAAATTTAGAATTCTCTTGTAATTGTAATAATGAAAATTAAACCGAGGAAAACTAAAGAAACCACTTTACTATTTTCCTTTTTAATTTCCCTCGTTTTTTAACTCAACTACTCATATAACTTCTCTTTATTCCCGCCATTGTTTCCCTCCATATTCCCACCTTCTCCTCGACCCCTCTTCTCCCATTATCTGCGTAAGAAACTTCCATTTTCAGAGCTATATATTCACCATATAGTTCCTCTTGGAGAGATGAAATTCCTGGTGAGCATTAGGTCAGTTCTCTCTTTTCTTTTTGTATTTTAATTCTTTTAAGTTTGTTCATTTTAGTTTCATCAATATGATTGATGGACACACATTTGTGCTTTATATTTAGGATGCAAATATGTAGTTTATTTCACTGCTTAGGTTTACCAAAATCATGACATTATGTAGTTCGTTGAATTTTGGCTATTCCAATGATATTCAGTCTAAAATCATGAGATGTAAATTTTGGCTATTCCAATGATACTCAATTTTTGATGTTCCCAATTAGTAAATATGTGATACTTTGACTTATTATTTTGAGTTATTCTCAATCTTCATATAGATGAATAAAACTTTAATCATTCATTTGTTAGAGATATTTGACAAGATTCTTCCTATGATCTTGCTAAATATATCAATAGTAATTATTTTCAAGAGCTTATATTTTTTTAAAAGTTTTATGTTATAATTTAAATCTATTATTTAATTTTAATTTTATAATTAATTATATAGACTCCTAAAATTAGTAAGAATTAAAATAAATGAATAGAGCACAAGCTATTTAGTGCCCCAAAGTTATTCTTTCTTAACCCTAAACGTTATTTTTCCATTTCTAAAAGTTTACATGAAAGAATAATCCTACGGTTTATTTTAAGCAAGGAAAGCGGCAGGGAAATATCGAAATTCTTAGGTTTTTTTCGTTTGTAGTTCTGACCCTCTTTTTTCTACTGCTTGTTGTCCTTTGCTATATGAACAAACTGATACATAAGGAGTCCTTTGTGGGAATTCTTCATTGGTTCTTTTTGTCCTTTGTCAGTTTCTGGAATTAACTTTGTTTGAAAGAGCATTTGAAATTGTTGGAGTAGATTGGAAAGATAGTCAAATCTGAAGGTACCCGTGGACTGGAGGATTGCTTTTGGAGGTATATTCTAAAAGGGTTCATGTTAATTTATTTATCATTTTTTAATATGGATTGGAAAGCCACGTAACACAAACGAATACTGGCTTGGTTTGGATAAATTTCTTGATTTTGCATTTAAGAATGCGGCTGTGGAAGATACAATTAGATGCCCATGTCCTAAATGTGGCTTTGGCAAGTGGCACACTAGAGAGATAGTGCAGGATCATTTGATTTGCAAGCCATTCCCTCAAAATTATGTTATTTGGAATCTTCATGGTAAGAAACAGGTAGTAGCGCCTTCTGGAGATAGAGACGTTATGCAAGAGATGTTTCACCCAGAAAATCCAATAGAAACAATGCTTAATGATGCATTTGGGTACGATAGGCACCAAGCGGCTGATGGAGGGATATCTCAACCATTGGACTCAAATGAAATATCAAATGAGGCGCATAGGGAGGATACTGACGACTTTCATGATTTTCTCAAAGATGGAAGTGAGACACTGCATGAAGGGAGCAAGTATACAAAGCTAGAGTTTTTAATAAAATTGTATCATATAAAGGTCTATTGTGGATTAAGTGACAAGGCTATGACTATGATACTAGATTTGTTGAGAGATGCATTTGAAGATGCAAAGTTACCGCTTTCCTTTTATGAGGCCAAAAAAACCATTAGCAAACTTGGCCTTGACTATATCAAGATACCTGCATGTCCAAATAATTGTATGTTGTACTGGGAAGGCGATTCAGAATTGGAAGTATGTAAGCATTGTGGTACATCTAAATGGAATCCTAACAAGAAAAAAAAGCAAGCTGCAAAGGTTTTGCGTTATTTTCCACTGAAACCAAGGTTGCAACGATTATTTATGTGTGGTAAGACTTCAGAACATATGAGATGGCATGCTTCAGGCAATAATGCTGATGGGTTGATGAGGCATCCAAGGGATGGTGAAGCATGGAAGACATTTGATCAGACTCATTCTGGATTTGCTTCGGATCCTCGAAACATTCGCTTGGGCCTTACTAGTGATGGTTTCAATCCTTTTGGAACAATGAGTACTACCTATAGTATTTGGCCAGTCTTCTTGATTCCATATAATCTTCCTCCTTGGATGTGTATGAAGCACACCTCCTTCATCTTATCAATGATTATTCCAGGCAAGCACATGCCTGGAAATAATATAGACGTATACTTACAATCCCTCGTTAAGGAATTACGTGAGTTATGGAATGATGGAGTTGAAACGTTTGACTCATCATTGAATGAAAATTTTAGAATGCATGCAGCTCTTATGTGGACAATCAGTGACTTTCCGGGATTAGGTATCCTATCTGGCTGGAACACTCATACTGGTTTTGCCTGCCTAACTTGTAACTTTGACACAGAACTTTGTCGTATTCGTCATAGTAAAAAGTGGTGCTTTATGGGTCATCGACGTTTTCTGAGAAGAAATCACAGGTTTAGGTTGAATCGAGTACGCTTTAATGGAAGTACAGAGGAGCGGAATCCACCATTAAAATTATCAGGGTCTGCCATTTTGAGACAAATCGAAGAAGGTAGAGGAGCAGGGTTGAATTGTACAGGGAAAAGATCTAGACGAGCAACTAAGCAATGGAACAAGAGAAGTATATTCTTTGAACTTCCTTATTGGAAATCTAACTTGTTGCGTCATAATCTAGACTTTATGCATATTGAAAAAAATATATGTGATAATATCATATATACGTTGCTCCATGATAAATCAAAATCAAAAGATAATATTAATGCCCGAAAGGATCTAAGAGAAATTGGCATAAGGCGTGATCTTTGGCTGGATGATAGTGGGAAATATCACCTTGCTGTGTTTTCACTTATGACTGATAACAAAAAGAAGCTGGACACTAAAAAGTTGTTCATTACAACTTTGAAGAATATTAAAGTACCAGATGGCTACTCAAGTAACATTTCTAGCTGTGTTGATTTGGTACAAAAAAAGATTTTTGGGTTGAAAAGTCATGATTGCCATATTATTTTAGAGCAATTGCTACCATTGGTGATCCGCAATGTGTTGCCCAACCATGTAGTTGCAGTTTTGGTGGACTTCTGCTCATTTTTCATAGCCCTTTCTAGCAAAACCTTGAATGTTTCGGAGCTTGATAAGCTCCAAGAGCGCATTGAAAGCACACTTTGCCACCTAGAGATACTATTTCCTCCAGCATTCTTTACAGTAATGGTTCATTTGTCTGTCCATCTAGCAGGGGAAGCAAAACTCGGAGGTCCAGTGCATCATCGAAACATGTATCCCGTTGAGAGGTAAAACATTGTAATTTCTAATTTGAAGATACTTGTATTCTGGTCTCTTGAAATAGTTTGTACACTTATGGCCTATTATTTTTGTAGGGAATTAGGCCATTTTAAGTCCTTTGTACGAAATAAAGCACAACCAGAGGGTTCTATAGCTGAGGGTTATTTAGTTGAAGAGTCTCTTACCTTTTGTTCTCAATATATTGAGGATATTGAGACAAGATTCAATAGACCTAGGCGTGTTCGTGATGAACCAAATGTCACTGAGCCTTCTGGAACATCCTCTCTATTTCCTCAATTTGGTAAACCTGCATCAGCTTCGATTACATTCCCTTTAACTGATATGCAGAAACTACAAGCTCATCGATATGTGCTTCTGGATTGTGCAATAGTCATGCCATTTGTGGAGTGAGTAACTCATATAATCTTTATATTCTTTATCATTGTAATGTTTGATCCGGCTAGTCTTGTTCTTTAACATTAATGTAGTTATTTCATATAGCGAATTGAGACAGTACATAAGGAGGAGTTCAAGAAGAAGACCTTCACCTACAGAGATAGAGAGGAGAGTTAATAAAGAGTTTGTTGATTGGTTCCAAAAGCGGGTGAGTAAGTAATCATTATTTATTGTTTATATTTGGTTTGAATGAACTAACTTCACTAAGACAATATTTTTTTGATTTAGATTATGAATCCAGACACAATAGATACAATGTCTATTGATCTAAAGTTTCTTGCACGAGGTCCATCAGTAGTTGCAAGAAGTTTTACTGCATATAACATCAATGGGTCCAAATTTCGAACTTTGGCTCGAGAAGAAGGTCTGAGAACACAGAATAGTGGAGTTTTTTTAACCTCTAAAACATCATGTGTTGCAAGTAGTATTGACGGAAATTTAAGGCAAGTAGAGTTACCATATTATGGAAAGTTAGAAGATATTCTTGAGATTAATTATTATGGTCGATTCAAGGTTGTTCTTTTCAAATGTAGATGGGCCGATACTGCTCGAGATAGAGGGTATAAAAAGGATCGTTGGAACTTAAATTGTGTTAATTTTGATAGATTGATTCATACCGGTGAACGTGAAGAACATGAGCCTTACATCGAAGCATATCAAGCACAAATGGTGTACTATGTGGATGTTGTTGTCAATAAAGGGTGGAGTGTTGCTATGCATCTAAAGCCAAGAGATCTGTATGATATGGGAGAAGAAGTAGTGGAAGATGAAGTATATGAGAATGAACCATACCAAGAGCAAGAACTCGAACAGTTTTTTGGTGATGGTGATGAGTATGTACAACTAGCTACGGATCATATAATTGATGATGTAGTAGAGACAAATGTTGCTACTAACTAGCAGCAGATACATACATGTTTGAATAGAAAATTTGTTTAATATGTTGCTTTATCTGAAGGTAATAGTATTGCATAACTAAGTAGTGTTTATTTTATTTATTTGATGTATAAGTATGTTTAAAAATGGTATTCATATTTGGTTTGAAGGCATATTTAAAAGTGATAATCATATTTTATTCGTGTTGCTATGCTCTTATTTATAAGCGAATGCTACCTAAGACGCGAAATGTAGCTTACCTCTGCCGTAGGAAAGAAAATACAGTCACAATTGAGAACTGCTAGCCCTCCTGGAGTTGCAGATGATCTTGTAAGCCAGTTTGAAATTAAAGCATTTGATGCATGTGCAAACCCGTACCTGGGTCTTGCTTCTTTAACTATGGCTGGGATTGATGGCTTGCGAAAAGTTTTAAGTATTCCAAAACCAGTAGGTAAGTGAAATAATCTTTTAGTATTACCTCTACTATATCTTCTAACTATGTTTTTGCCTTTTAGGTTCTTTTCCTTATGCTATATGGTTAAGCCTGGAACACATATTATATCTGTTATGATGGTTCACTATGAGAAGCTAAATATCATGACATCTTTTTTATGTTATATATTTCTGTTATTTTATGTCAACTCAATCAAGATTTTGAAGTGTGCTGCACGCCCAATTTAGAACATCAGTAGTCTGTACCAAAGTTTGGCAATTTAAATCTACACAAAGTTCTACCACATTTTCCATTTTAAATCTTCCTATCTCTATTACTTACCTTTTGGACAATTCTAGTGCATCACTGTTGTACATTTCTTCTTCTAAATGAAAGCATATGAGATTGTGAGTAGAAACCATGTGAATCAAGATGGTACCTACTTCTACTGTCTTTGGATCTCTCCGCGATAAGTTGCAGTTGCAGGTGGTGTTAGTATGAGCTACTTTCAAAGTATTGGAGTATTGACTTGCTTGCATGTTAGTTATGTATTCTCTTGTTGAATTGTTTTATCCTGTTCACTGTCCCTTCTGCCCGAGAGGATTTTCCTTCTATTGCTATATGGTTACTTGCTGAACCATTGAGAAATGAAGTCTTTCTCTTGCGTTCTACTCTTTTATTTGCTCGTTAAACTTTCTTGTATTCAAGGAACAGAAGTTGCCAAAGAAAGTTCAGATATCATCATCCTGGATGACAATTTTGCTTCTGTTGTGAAGGTCTGTTTATCATGCTGGCAGCTTTAGCAGGAAGTTCTCACTCTTATTATCTTAGTAAAGCCAAACTTGTCTTGCATGCTTGACTTACGGAACATGAACAATCTTTTTCTAATTTTATTGCCTTGAAGATATCCCAACAGTGGTGTTTATATATTTTGGAACCTAAAAGAAGGTGCTTAGTATTACTTTTTAATGGTGGGGAATGAACTTTCCTGCTGGGAATTTTGAATCTTCTGGAGTGACTGAAATACTTGGGATGGGCTCTTACTTTCTGAAAAGTTCTTTATTGCTAACAAGTTCCTATCTCAGAATGCAAGTTTTGTCACGTTTAAATTGCCTTCAACAGCTCAGAAGTCGGATCTATTTTACCTGATATATTTTGCAAACCCATTAGTATCTTTTCTAGTTGCAGTGATTGAAGTTCCAATATTTTTCAGACCGGTGCATGACAATACTTATTTTTATTGATTTTTTATCCCATCAAATGCAGGTTGTCCGATGGGGCAGATCCGTATATGCTAACATCTAGAAATTCATCCAGTTTCAGCTAACTGTTAACGTTGCTGCTCTTATAATTAATGTTGTTGCTGCAGTTTCTGCTGGTGATGTCCCATTGAATGTTGTTCAGGTTTAGTTTCACTACTCTCTTATCATTGATCAGTGTGATTAGTGGATGTACACTTTGTGTGTTCGACCTCTATGTTCTGATGTTAATCATTTAGGTTTTGTCGTTCACCTGTGCAGCTACTTTGGGTAAATCTTATTATGGTCACCTTGGGTGTGCTTGCACTGGCCACAGAGCCACCAACTGATCATCTAATGCGTCGAGCTCCTGTTGGTCGAAGGTTAGTTTGTAGATCAATCTCTGGAAAAAAAAAAGCTTGTTTCAACATTTTAATGGCAAAGATATTGTTTGTTTCGTCAAGTAACATTAGCTGGCTGCACTACCATTTATGTGTATTTGTAGTTTGACAGATGGGGTTGGCTTTTAGAGATAACTAATCCATCATGTGGCTGTGCAGTTGATTTCTTATAAGGAAGTATTATTGCTCTGTTAGATTTTGTTTCTTTCATGTCATTTTGCATAATGTATAGGAAGTGAACTTGTTTTGAAGCCGTGAGATACTTTTATAAAACATCTACCCCTATTATAGCCGCACATTATTCTTTCAGTTGGAGAGTCCGAGCAACATAGCCACACATTATTCTTTCAGTTGGTTTGAACATTCTCACTACATTCTTAATGTTAACGTGATTATACTGTAAGCTGGATTCTATACGTTTCTGACTCTTTCCACTTATGTTACTAGATTATAGAGACTTCCATATTGCCTCAATATCTTCTGCCATTCATTTTCATGCTTCGGTACTGATGTGCATCCTACTTGTATTAATAACATTTAGTGGTGGAATATGTTCTGTTGCAGCTCTAGCTAATGATTCCCCAAATTTATCAACTTATTTTCAGCTTCTTTCTGTATTGCTAACCTATGTCCTCATAGTTATAATGTTCCTCGTGCGCAGCATCAATTGATTTTTTTGTTTAATTCTATCTTAGGGAACCTCTCGTCACCAATATAATGTGGAGAAACCTATTAATACAGGTAAAAAGAATTTGATGGCTGATGTTCCAAAGTGAGAAATATTCATTTTACATTAGTTTTCGAGGTTGATATCTCCTGCTTGAACATCTGCAGGCTCTGTATCAAGTTACAGTCCTCCTAATCCTCAATTTCCGAGGTGAACAAATTCTTCATTTGGAGCATGAGACGAGGGAGCATGCTGTTAAAGTGAAGAATACCTTGATTTTCAATGCTTTTGTCCTGTGTCAGGTAAGAATAGCTGATAAAGAAACATGCTATGATTGGCTTTTGCACTCCCCATAGTATATTTTTCCTTTCTTACATAAGAAAGATATCTTGTTTGTACCTAGTGCTAATTCAAGCACTTCCTCTCCCCTAGGAATTTTGTCTTAGTTACATTTTTGGATTGTAGAAGTTGTCCACTTTCCTTGAATCAGCAGGTCTAAATGTCTAATACGTTTAATACCATAAATTTTTTAGCCACCTCGCTTTTCCACCTTGTTATTTTTCCTTTATTGGCCATAAAAAGGTCAAAGCATCCATATGTTTTCTCAACAAATATTAAACAATTCATAGTTTCAAATCTTCCCTTAATCGTGCCATCAAGGGTGGACAACCCAATTCGGATGGAGGCGGTAGTAATCTCTGCACTCTTTTAGGATCTTGGTTGTGTTTTTGGAAATGATTCTCAAATTAAATATGAGGCAGCTTTTTCTCTTGAGCTCCTTCAATTTCCCTGTGTTCCTAACCTTTTCCTCATTTTTGGTTTTGTTCGGGCGATGGGGGCAAAAAGTCTGAAACTGAAATTTCATACTGTTGTTTGCAATGAGCCACATTAGCTTTAGATATTTTCCTGTCTACTAAGATTTAATCGCTGAATCCACTGCTAAATGCTAATTACTCGAAACTGCAGGTTTTCAATGAATTCAATGCTCGGAAGCCAGATGAGATAAATGTATTCAGAGGAGTCCACAAAAACCGTCTGTTGAGCTTTTAAATGTTCTGGCTTTTGTCGTTGAAGTAGTTTTAAATTTGAGTTGTTGCTCTGTTTTGGATTGAGACACTTTATGGGGAATGTAAGAATACTCTTTCCTTGATTATTCCATATTGAATTTCTTTTGAATTTGAGACAGATTTCTCTCCTAGAGCCTACATCAAGGAAGATGAAAGTGTAGGATTTGCCATGATAGTGATGAAGATTCAAACATGGAGATTCCCTACTCTTACCGTGGAACCCTCAAGGTTTATTAAGCTAGCTGTTTTACTCATTTGAAGCCCATGGATGCAGAGCAACAGAGAGAATATGGTCACAAGATAGGTGAATTTCTTAGCTGATTATTACAAGAACAATGAGAATTCACTGTTTTCAGTCAAGTTCAGGTTTTTACAACAACCGATCAATTGTTTTTTGTATCCTTACCATGCACTTGCCAAGAATTAGTTGTCCGTAGAAAGTTTAGCCCTTGCATGACAGTGTTATTTTGGCAGAGTTTGTGGAGACTTAGCTAGAAAAAAGTACTCCATTATAATTGCGAATGAAATTAGTAAAGCTCAATCTTTTAATGGATACATTTTTACTATCCTAGCTGGTTGGTGATCATATCATATATCATTGCTCATGATAAAAATTTATTTAGTTGCATGAGGATTTGAATTTGTAATATTTGTCACTATGGTTATTTTTTATGAAATTTGATTTATGTTGTAACTTATTGGATAGAATTGTTTCTTTAATCCTACAAATAAAAATATTCAAATAGAAAAGAGTTTTCAACAACAAAATATTGTGGCGGAAATAAACTGCCACTATTTTTTTAAAAAAACAGTAATATTATATTGTAGAGGTTATAAACCCCATATAATGTTTTTTAAAAAAAATATTTGAATCATATTTTGGGGGTTTATAAACCCCCACAATATTTTTTTTGAACCATTATGATCATATTAAGGGGTTTATAAACCCTCGCAGTATTTTTTTTTGACACATCAAAATCATATTGCGGGGGTTTTAAACTAGCACTAATTATCTTTCAAAACCCCTTCATTACTTTTTCTTAAAAAAATATTTAAATCATTTTTAGGGGTTTTTAAACCCCCACAATATCTTTTTTGAACCACTATGATCATATAGAGGGGGTTTATGAACCCTCGCAATATTTTTTCTTTGGCACATCAAAATCATATTGCGGGGGTTTTAAACTAACATTAATTATCTTTCAAACCCCCCACAAATTAAAAATTTATTTTGTGGCGGTTGTCATGGAGGTTTTAAAAATCCGCCGCAATAATGCTCGTGGCAAAGGTAACTGTGGCACTTCTAGAAACCGCCACAATTCTTTTTGTGGGAGTCAAAAACCGTCACAATTTGACCAAAAAACTGTCACAAAGTAACTGTTTTTTTTTTTGGCAATCCGCTAGGCAAGCGCCAGGGCTAGTTTTCATTAATTCAAGAAAGTACAAATACAACAATTAGGAAAAGTATAAATAAGGGGGTCAATAGCATCGATATTGTTACCCATATGCCTTGGCTATATAATTACTCCTCTGCGCCTCACATTGCCTTATGATGGCAGCCTCATGTAGAGGATTCATGGTGTAGCTGCCGGCACAGTCTCACGAGGGCATATAATCTCATAGCCGTGTGGATATTTTTCCAAAGGCATAGGACCAAGGCAACACAAACCTGGCTAAGCCTTACCTTACTAATCCTATTGAGGCATAAGAAGCCTCTCCTACTAGCATGCATGTAAAAAATAAGAAGTTGAGAGTACCAAATATTCTATGATCATCACAGAGTTTATAACATACTATATGATGATATTACAAATGATTATACTAATAAAATGATAAAATATAACATATAAGTAATTAAAATCTTGTCCCTTCTTGTCCAATCCTGTAACTTCTTCAAGTTGTACCTCTTTGTCTTGTTCATCAACCCTATTCAAAATGTGTTCGAGATTCATCATTACTTTTTTGAACGGTGTGACTTTGTAGATGTATTTTGGATGGCCTTTTTTTGTTTGGCAACTCTCATTGGAAGTCGCCTTACGTTTTCATCTTCATTCACCTTGCCGTCCCAACTTTTATCCCTTGTACGAGACTTCTTACTTTTTCCACTATGCATTGGTGATAAATCCCCTTTTCTTGCTGCCTCTGCCCGGCATTGATTTATAATATCATCTTCCTCACCTTCTTCAAATGTGTCTCTGCCTACAATCACCGGTATTGGTATGTCTTGATCAAAACCTTGTGGCACCATAGTGTTTCCCTCCTGTGGATTAACCAAAGTTGCCTTGTGTCGTGGTTGTTCTACAGTTTGCAATTTGTTCCTGCTTGTACTTGCACGCCCAGTGCTGCCAGCATTAAAATATATAGAATTCACAGGATTTAAACTTACCATTGCATCCAAGAGTCTTCTCTCTTCTGCTGAGAAAACTGTAGTGTTTGTGACCAATTGTTGCTGCCCAGGTTCTAGTTTTGGTGCTGATTCCGCCCCACCAATAGCAATTGAGGTGGTTGTTAAAATATGGTGTTTCCCAGTCGAGATCACTCCATAGTTGTTTGCAACTTGCTACTGCCCAATTGACTTTGCTCCATTAATGGTTGCCTTCAATTGTTGATCAGATGTTGTATTCAAATGTTGCTGCTGCTGTTCGATGAGTGATGTTGCTGCATTTTGTTCCACCACCTTCTGCAGCCGCTCAGGCGTAATTGTTGCTGCATTTTGCATCAGAGAGGTATGTGCTGTGCTAGCTGCCCTTTTTTGGTTTGCACTTTTTGGCACAAATACTTGTGCTTTTGCATTTAGTTTACTGCTGGAAATTGCCTTCATGGAATTGCCAAATTGAGGAAAAGATGGTGAGCCTGCTGATAGCACCTCTTCGTCTTCACTCTCATGGTCATCCTCTTCACTCGAATACCCAAAGTACGCATCACCATAGAGTTCCTCATCATCATACTCTCGTTGATCTGTCCATAGTTTGGATTTGATTTCCATCCCCCTTAAATTTTCCTTGATGTTCCTCCCCAAGCTGCTGTCGAAAAAATTCTCACTGTGCTGTGCATTTTTTCCATTGCTGGCTTTTGTGACTATTTGCTTGGACATCATATCCTTATTCTGAAAATCAGTATCAGGTTCACCATCTTCATCTGATGCAAGAAGCTCGAAGGTGTTTGTGTTGGATACACTGCTAGAAGCTGTAAGAGCTGCTTTTTTTTCAGCTTTACCAACTAGTGCAACATTATGTTTAGCATCTCCAGAAGTAGCTATTGGAGCTGCTGCTTTTCTCTTGATTTGCTGTTCCTTAACCCCATCAATAGTCCCAACATCTTCTGCTTGCTTTTCTCCTGATACAATATTAAGCACATCCTTCAAAACACCTGGTAACGGTGATTTCACCACTGGAATAACAGGTGCAACATCTCGATCTCCATTTCGGCCTCGATCACCACCTGCCTTGTAACTAGATTGCACAGACACACCAGGTCGATCTACAGTTCCCATTAAGTTTGCAGCATTTGATGCAACAGTTGGTTCATTAGAATCAAACAACTTAGTATCTCGTGCACCTGCTGCCTGCTCTTGGGCATTATAACAATTCCCAGCTCCTTTAGGGACTGATCCTGAACTACTACACTTTAGTTCAGCTATGTCCTCCTCATTCAACAAATCATAATTTGGCAAACTCTTAGATCGAGCTTTAGGATACACAATCCTAGGTGCATCCTGCTCCATTGCAGTTGATTTCTCTGTTGAGTCCACAGATGCAACATCTCGATCCCTATTTTGTTTTAATGCAACAGTAGCCTTTATATTTGCACCTCTACTAGTTGATTTATAGCATCTCCTGTAGCTTGTCCTGACATTAGTTTCAACGGACCTGCTACATCACCTACTGATATCCCTTTATTCTCCGAATTTACATTAAAAACTTGCACATCTGGTCGATCGCCAGTTTCCTTTTGTCCTACAGTAGCCACCAGACCTCCTTCATTTTGCAAAACTTGTTGCTCGATCAAATTTTTTTGGTTTGCTGCTTCATCACCCAACTTATAGCCTGCTATTTCCATTGCTCTTTGATTCATTCTTTTTGCATTCAGGTATTCCCTAGCATCACCTTGTAGCTTGTCACAAGTGCTCACCTCGACAACAGGCATATTACTTCCAGATGTCACTTCCTCTGCCCTTACATCCTTTCCTTCTTTTTCGTTCCTCACTCGACAAACATTTTCACCATGTCCTTGATGCTTGCAAAAGGTGCAGTATGTAGGAAGATTATCATACACCACCTCCTGGTAATGTACTATACTTTTACCCGAAATTCTGTCCACTATCAGTAGCTTAATCTTTTTAGGGTGTTTATCCAAAAGATCAATTATAACCTTCACCCTCGCTGCACTAGGTCGTGTTCTATCTTGTGTTGCCTTGTCAACAGCAAGCGATTTACCCACAGCTGAGGCAATGGACAATAGCGACCTCTTCGCAAAGAAATTAGGCGGCAAACCTGGAAACGAGATCCACACAACAGCCATGGATGTTTCCTCTTTTGGATTGAATCCTAACGTCCATGGAAAAGTTCGAAAAAAGAATTCATCACCTTTTGCCTTGACATATCCAGTTGATTTAGATAACAACTGAACATAATCGTTGTGGAGGTCAAATCTAATCAAGAGATGACGATATCCCAGAAGCCCAATATTACAGCGTCCTTGAACATCGAATTGCGACGAAAAGATTTTACGAAAATCTTGAAGATCTGGTTTTCCGTATGAAAACTTCAACACAACTGCTTGATGCAGTCCTTCTTCTATTGTAAACTCTTTAACCTCATCCATGGTGAATTCCACAGTTGGTTCCCCATGTTCAAACGTGACAGGCAGTAGGTTTATCTTGTGCGAAGTTGTGGCAGCTTGTTTGGTTTGAAGTTTCGAAGCATAAGAAGGTTTTGGATTGTAATTAGGAGCTGTTTCGTTGATGTTTGGATCATCTCTCCCACAGCCAAAGGCTGG